AACTATGGCACAGATGAGCATATAGCAACCATGGTACAAACAACTATGCCGGTAACTATGGCACAGATGACCATATAGCAACCATGGTACAAACAACTATTCCGGTAACTATGGCTCAAATGACCATCTAAAGACTGATGTAAATGAACCCATAATAATCATCGATAAAATGTGTCAATGAAATAGCTATAATTCGGGTAGTGGTGTGAAACGGGTTACAAAAGCATTTAATTAGTCAGAGTCAGACCAAATGAGCAGTATGGATTTAAAGAAATCGTTTAAATTATTCATTATTGTAGGATTGATGTGCAATGTTGTATCAATGAATATCTAATTTATTAATAGTTTAGAATTAATGCGCGAATTGAAGCATAAAATATTGATTAATAAAACTCAAATTTTATGAATAATATAATTCATATTTTTGTACGTACAAATAGCGCCAATATAATTACAAAAAAAATCGTATTCTTGTCTAATCTTATTGAGCGCTATTTATATTTATAAAAGCAAAAAAAAATAAAACAAAAACGACAAAAAAAAATTAAATTTGTAAAATGCATTATCTTTACTTAGAGTGAGAATTCTCCGAATTAAGTTTTCTGCTCGCCTAAGATATACTGGTTATATTATCAATTTTGCGTATTACTTTTTTAATGTAGCTTTTTATGCTATTACATCCGTACATGTATTCTATCAGTCTAGGGCTAAGTGAATCGCTTGACGATGAACGTTACTTGTTCAATAACATTAATATCTTATTCTCCGCTGTAGAATGTCACAGAGACTGAATCAATATACTCTACAAAAAGAAATCAAATGTTAAAAAAAACAACAACATCAACAACACAATGTTGAGATTATTTGTTCGTCAATTCTTTCCTTAGAAACCTCTGAAACTTGAATAAAGCAGCATCACTTATTTTTTGTGAATTCATCACCAAACTACTAAAAACATACACATCAATCTGACTTCTATCATGCATTATTATTCAAAACTTCAGATTTGTCAAGTAAGTTGGTAGGATCTCTTTACATTTGCTCTATATGACTTATGGTGTTGAATTCAGATTGATTTGTACAAAATGAAAGAAAGAAAAACAACGAATTCGTACGACGAACTTCTTACAGAAAGAAAGTTCTTATGATGTCCTATTAAATTTCTTTTGTCTTACAGGCATAGGCGTATTCAACATTGATTTATTAACCAACTTCGTCTGCGACAACATAGACGTATCTGTATGGATACGAGAGCAATTCACCATGACTTGGATCAAATAAAGAATCATATTAAGGAACTACAACGACAACAAAAATCACCGACATATTTACTAATAAAACCAAATTATCCAAATGATATCTCTTCAATGTACTATTGTAATGAATGTAACAGCTTTGTTGGTAAACGAACTTCTCTTCAGTATTCAACATGCAAACCAAAGACGGGTACCACAACTTATCAGGATAGCTACAATCGAAAATGGTCATCTTCAGCAGTTGCCAGTTACGTTTGCTATCCAATATACCAGGATCGACCGACAATATTAAAAGAACTTCAAAAGAAATATCCATCATTATCATCTGCTGTCCAAATTCAACGAAATTGGATACCAGCATCGTCTAAAAATAGTTATCCATATCGACGATGGATCTTGGGTGCACATTATCCAGACCCGTGAAAAGCGATTATGAAAAGAAAACCCATAAAAATATCAACATGCTACTCTTCAATCGTTAATAAAAATAAATTTCTTAATCAAGTATTCAAAAAAGAAATCGAATGGTTTGGAAGAACCTAGAAAATAGCTATTTTCTATTCATATATTTTGAATATGATATTTTAGGAAGCAAGATTTCAATTTTGATTCAGTGCATTGGTTTTTTCGTAAAGTTGACAAAAGGAGAAAAAAAAACACCTACCATTCTATAGTTTTGCAACTTTTCTCACGTTTGAGCTCCAAGATAAAATGTCATTTATATTGGCTTGTCTTGAGCAATCGCCTGTTTCCTTCTGATGTCTCACTCTGTTAGTTTTTGTTGAGTAAAAACCCTCAATAGTGTAGACACCAACATCATCAACTACAGAACGTGTCATTATTGATGATGTCGATCAGATCATGTAAGCAATTCAAAGATATAAAATCATAAAAAGCAAATCCAAATGTTCTAAGTAAAGTGATCCATAGACAGATCCACTTTTTGATTTGTTCTTTACCCATACAAGCATCATATGTACATGTGTTCTCTTGGAGCTTGACATGAGCTAGAACTAATTAAATTCCATTTAGTTTTCTCATAATGAAACAACTTGAGAGATAGTATGAACGTTCATCGAAATTGAATTTTCGAATGTTCCGAAAATCTAAATGATTTCTTCTTTTACTAGCTCGACACATATACGTCGTAGTCTTTTTCAGCTTGGAAAATATACTTATAGATAAACAATAGTTTTAAAAAAATAAAAGCTTTAATTCATTTATAGTTTTTATTTTAATGCAAACTAATGTTGAGATATGAACTTCACTACTAGTAATATGGAAATTGTTGATTACGTAAGATTTGATGGCTACATGACTTAAGGTTCAGATATGTATCCAGCAACATATTTCTAATCAATGAATGTTATTGTTGAATTTCCCAAATATTTTGACACTTTACAGGGTGGTAAATAATATTATTCCAGGGGGGTAACAGTATGATCTCGAATCGGAGATATCATGAATTTTATACCAAATGAAAGCCCGTGAAAAATGGGGTTTAGTGATAGTAAATAGTAAGACTTTGAAGAACTTTCGTGTACCAAATTTTTAAAAACAACGAAATTTTCTTTCAAAAACACGTTAAAAATCATTTTTCATACATTTTGAGACATTGAAAACGAACATTTTTTATGAAAACGAAAGAGAAATGATAACGATGATGATATATGACTATGACTCACACAATAAGATGGTTCTTTGGCGTTCTGTTCTTCTCTCCACGTGATACTAGTTATTTGAAAAATTTTTTCGTTCTCGGACTGTCTGAAAGTTATAGTCGAGTGAAATCTCAGTGTTTTTTCGTTTGTTATTTCAAATGGCTGGCGCTTATGATACCGAACAACAAAGAATGATTGATAGAATTAAATGCATTACTTTCCGAGAAGCTCGTGATGCTGGTGCAACATTTATAAATAGACAATGGATTGCCGACAAAATTCACCGTACGACTCGATTTGTTACAGAATGGTGGGAAAAATCGTGTGACCAATGTTTTGCTGATTATTCGAATGCTGGTCCTAAACTCAAGTTATCGAGAGCTGCTCAGGACATTATTCGTGAAGCAAGTGGTCACCAACGGAAAAGCGGTTCTGTCGTGGCGAAAGAGATTGCAAAGAAACAAAAAGAATATGTTACTCGACAAACAGTTAATAACTACCGTCGTAGGGAAGGATTAAAGCCTTTTCATGTTATTTCAAGACCGTTAAAATCTGAAACTCATATATCAGATCGATTATGGCTCTGTGATTGGTTGAAAGATTGGACTGAAGAAGATTTTCTTCATCTGGCACCATCAGATGAATTTTATGTTTGGACAGTTCGCAAACCAAATTATCAAAATGATAGGATTTGGGCAAAAAGTGTTGAAGATATTGAAGACGATGAAAGGTATCGCGAAATGGTTAAAAACCAAGCGTGTATCGGTATTTTTATCATTTTCACCGCGAAAAAAATGCATTGGGTGATTAAAGACAAAGGTGAATCTTGGACCGGTCAATATTTTCGTGACATTATTTTAATGCAACACGTATTTCCATTCCTCACCGACGAGGAAAACGTAATTGATCTGGATAATGTGATATTTGTTCACGATAAAGCACCGTGTATGCGAGCAAACATGACTCAACATCTGATTAGAGATAACAAAATCGAGTTTTGGGGCAATGATATTTGGCCTGGTAATTCGCCCGATCTCAATGCGGCGGAACATATTGGATCAATAATGAAAGATGAAGTTGAACAAAAAATGTTATCGGAAACTGGACATAATCGATATAGTGAAGACACACTTAAAAAGCACATTGCGGATGTTTTGACGGACATGGAAGAAAATACCGAATTGTTTGAAGCTCTTTTATGTTCGTATCCATCTCGACTTCGTGCAGTAAAGAGTGCTAATGGTCGTCATACTGATTATTGATTGTACTCAATAAATAATAAGAAAATAAACAGTTGTACAACATATAGTTTAGCCCCGAACTTTTTCGATGAACTGATTTTATAATATTTTATGTCGATAAAAATCGTAACGTTTGATAAATTAATACAAGAAAGTTCTTCAAAGTCTTACTATTTACTATCACTAAACCCCATTTTTCACGAGCTTTCATTTGGTATAAAATTCATGATATCTCCGATTCGAGATCATAGTGTTACCCCCCTGGAATAATATTATTTACCACCCTGTACAGTGAATAAAAACTTACATCTTAAAATGTCGACGATTGCACCACTTTTACCTCTTCCGTTTCCACCTCCTCCTTGAAAACCAATCACTATCGTATACGTCGTAACGAATAATAATAAATGAATGATGATGTGTATTGTTTTTGCCCAGTTCAGAATCGTTTGTGGTAATTTCAATCATATTCCCTTGCTTTACTCTAAACTGAGCACTTATAGTCAGTAAAATTGAAGAATAATACATCTCATCGATATCGTCAACACATATCTATATGCAAGAATTGATAGACAAAGATAGTGATAATGTATGATGTCACTTGTAATTTTCACGGATTTTAAATAAACTCTGTGATTCATTAAAACAAAGATAATAACTGCTATAGGCATGCGAACACATGGGAAAACAGTAAATTTATATTGACAGAGCTAAAATAAACTAAACAATAATGTGTTCTCTGGAAAGAACGACGTTATAATCAACGTTATCACCATCACCTACCATTTGTGTTGGTCTCCATACTAATACGATCGATTTCTTCATCTAAACAATAATTTTCTCGTGGAGATAAGTCTTTTTGAAACAACGTGAACAAGATTTTTTCTTTCTGTGAACATTCAATATTAGGAGCTTAGTACAGTACTGCATTATGAGTCTTTATGTTGACATTCCTGAGCGAAGTTTAATTATAGACCTTTATGATTAGCCGTGGGTAAGAAAGAGTTAAAAAAATCTGAGAGTAGTTAGAAATATTTGTTGATAATCGCCGAATGAACACACGATAATAAGTTAATATTTTTCTCCTATATATTTATACGTTAAAATAACAGGAAGAAATGCATAAAGCGCAACTTTCTCTGATTCAATTTCAAATTAATTTTGCTTATCTTCTTTTATTGAAATACGATATATTTGAAATTAAAAAATTATGAAATCTACTTTACTAATGAATTTATGTAGAGTTTATCATTTATTTACTCATAAAATTTTGTTTTATCGTATATTAGAGTATTTGTTTTTTCAAAATGACTATCGACAAAAGGATTTTTTATTACAAATATAATCTAATGTATATAAAACAACTAATAGTAAATGAAGTCATACGAAAAGAGAAAAAGGATATATGTTTTCCTTTTTTTCTTTAAATATATAATGTATTGAGTATTTCGAACACAGCAATGTTCATCATCACCAATGTATGTACGTTGGCCATAGTAGGTAGGAATTGAAAGAAATATTATAGAGAAAGATTTTGGAAGTAGTAGTGGTTAATTCAGATTTACTTGGAGGTATTCGGGGCAAGACTTTGAAATATATGTTTCATGGCGTTGAACATTGCTAGAGGGTTGATTGATATTGGTTTTGTTAGCGACACTACAATAAATTTGTCATTTTGTATATTGTTATGAAAGTTGAATGAACTTGGGAAGATTGTTTTGGTTTACATTTTATTTAGGAGAATGTTGTTTCTCTTTTTGTTGGCGTGTGTTAGAGTTGTTGTGTCTTAGTTTTTTGTCTAGTCCTTCTGGATATATATAAAGTGGTACTGATGTACCCCTAGCATTAAGTTTGGGTTTAATTATGTGAGTTGCAATCGATTCTCTTATTAGTAGCCGATAGTTTTTATCATCTTTCGCTATTATATTGATGTGTTTGAAATCGATTCAATGGTTGGTGTAGTGTACATATTTTCCTAGTGCTGATTTTTGTTTATACGCTGGAACAGGTGCTTCAGTTCCTGGTTGTTGTTTTTTGTTTTCTTCCTGTATTGTTGTTGTTGTATGGATGCAGGTAAGGAATTGTTCCATGTTGGATGTTTGATTATTCTCCCGCTTTTCGTTCTATGAATCTCATTCGTTCTTTTGTGAGAACTTAGGTCTGTTGTGTTTCTGCTATTTATAGATCTCTCGATTTTTAGCACGTCTTTTTGATGTTCTTTCAAACACTGTTGTGCCTGTCGAATCGTTTTACTCATTTGTGATTCTGTACAATCTTTGCAACGGATTTGATATACTATACCAAGTGTTTGTTTTTTTTTCAACATATCTTGATTAGGAAAGTATTTGTTGGTCGTATTTATTCTTCTTAGTA